AAAAAAAATCTTTCAATGTCAGCTATCCTCGACATCAACAGATGTCCATGAGCATGCCACCTCCAGCTTTTCCGACTCATAACTAGCAATACTACTAAACTCTGCCTCTTGACACTGAAGTCGATCAACAGTCCATCAACTCCAGACATGACCTCGATGGCTTTGACCATGGACATTGGCTGCAGACTCCATCGGTGTTACTTTCTGTGCGCGGGATTTATTGCAATATGAAAGTAAGCATCTCTTCATGAGCATGCCACCTCCAGCTTTTCCGACTCATAACTAGCAATACTACTAAACTCTGCCTCTTGACACTGAAGTCGATCAACAGTCCATCAACTCCAGACATGACCTCGATGGCTTTGACCATGGACATTGGCTGCAGACTCCATCGGTGTTACTTTCTGTGCGCGGGATTTATTGCAATATGAAAGTAAGCATCTCTTGCGTTGCGTCTAGAAAAGTATGGATTAATTAAAACCTAGAAGGACTGTACATTACATAGGCACACTCATAGACTCCACACGAGCGTGTACATTCCTCCCTACAGAAAAGAGACAAAATCTCTTCACCTTACTTTACGGCTTCACTCTGCATGCCTTGATACCTGCCTTAATGATGCAACAAGTTCTAGGCACCATGGCCTCTATGATGTCAGTTGTACAGCATGTGCGTCTCAAAATGAGATCTCTCCAATCCTGGTTTTTGGCCCTATTTGATCCACCAACAGACTCTCCCCACACTCTCCTAGGAGTCACTCCAGAACTGGCCTTTCAATTTCAGTGTTGGCATTCCCATACCATCCTTTCTATCGGGCAACCATTCCAACAGCCTTGCCCGTGAATTAAGTCACTACTGACGCCAGTTGCACCAGCTGGGGGGCTCATTGCAAATCCCTCACAGTCCACGCCAAATGGTACAGATTGCCACCGACAGCACCATGGTAATGTACTACATCCTAAAACAAGGCGGTATCCACTCCCCAGGTCTCCTCTACCTGGCGGTCGACCTCTGGGAGTGGTGTCTGCAACATCACATCTGTCTCACATCCTTACTTTTTACACATTGCTGGTCAAGACAACGACCTAGCAAACTCACTCAGCTGTACCAATGCCCAAGCTCACAATTGGGAACTAGATCAATCAATATTCCATCAACTCTGCTGGAAATGGAGCACACTGACTCTCAATCTATTTGCCTCCCAAGCAAATTGGAAATGCCAACCGTATTGCTCCCAAGCAGGAATAGGAAAACATTCCCAGGGAGACACATTTGTTGGCCATTGAC